CCACTTATTCTTAGTAAAATAAATGGTTTTTTTTTATTAAGGAATCTGAGTAGCAGAAATATAAACCCTTTTAGTTCTTTTCTTTTTTTTTTTTACAACAACATTCATTTAGGAAATTGCACAAGACCTTTAGAGAGATTTAATAAAGCTATTGATTGCATTATGCAGCATTAGGAAAGGGCAAAACCATACTTCAGCTTTTCATTTGTCAAGACTAAAATAAACTGATATTAGTGTATGCTTTCTCTTAATTTGTTGGAATTGTTGTTAAAAAAGTGGAATACCTATTAGGAAGAAATCTATACCTAAAACCTTGAAGAAAGCCTCTGAAGAAATGAATGAAAATAAAATGAAAGGCACATCAGTCATTTTTGTAATAAAAATAAGGATTCTAAGGGAAAAACAGGGAGTTCATGAAGTGAACAGTTAATCCCTGTGTGCCTCCTGGTTTTATTAAGGAAAATATATGTGTAAAGATGCTCGACAGAAAATTCTTGTTTCTCACTGTATGTTCTCATTTACAAGTTGCAGTGTTTCAGGGCACTCAGATATATTTGGGAGACTTACCATGTATGATAACAGAAAATTTGCAGAAATTGTTGACACGGTTAGTTATTCTTTCCCCCCCACCTCACCCCCCCAGTAGGTGTGTTTTATCTTCTACCTTGAGTATTAGAAATTTAGTAGTCGTGTGTTCTGCAGGATCTAGTCCTTGGTTACATTTCAACCAGCAGCTTAAACCAAATAAAATTGTGGTACATAATATCAGTAAATGAGTTCATGCATGTGGATGTCTGTTTTTCTTTCTGTGTTTATACACACACTCAGATTGATATCTATAGTAAGGTTGTGTGGCTGATATACTGGCATCCCCATCAGACTTCAAACTGAGGTGGTTAAACGTAGTGGGATCACAGTGATGGAAAAAGTGCTTTGATGTTTGTAAAAGAGTAGGATGATAAAGGAGGGGGGAAGGACCCCCAAATTCAGGGTACATTTCATGAGAGAATTGGGTCTTGTTTCTCATTTAATCCTACTCAGTTCTAACCCTGCTCTCTTTTAAAGAGTGATGTTCCCAGTTTTGTGGTTTGGGGAATTCAGCGGTTTTTAAGGGTGCCTAGAAAATACTATAACTGAGTGGGGGAAAAGGAAAAATAGTATCATTTGTTCAAATTGCACAGATCCTAAGTTCGTAGATAAAAAAACCCATGGAGTGTTGATTCTCTTTGTGACCAACTTAGGTGTTAAATTGCTAATTTGTATTTTGTACTATGAAGACACTTGCTAATAATGTCAGACAATTATATTTTGATGTAAGCTCACATAGTTATGATGCCTTAATTAAACGTTTGGAAATAAAAGAAGCTGTTGAGCTACGTGCAGTTTTTGTAACTTGAAATGTTTTTCATGATATTCACACAGAAATATATTTAAAAACCGCCCAAATGCTATCCTTGCCTTCGAATAATTGTGCCAGTAATGTATGGTAGTGTGAAGTTCCAACACGTTTTTGTCCTGATGGCTTTCCTGGTGATTTTATTTTAGCTGTATAGTTTTTACTTCTTGGTCATGAATTTAGTCTCTGTGAAGGCCAAGAGGTGGAAACCCTCTATTATTCCAGCAGTACACAGGATTCTCTGCACTGCTGTATCAGGAAATCTCAAGTAACAGTTTTATGATGTATGAGGATATTATTCTCTGCAAGCAATAACACGCATTTCTATTTCCCCAGCAATATCCACATAATCAAACATTCACAAGTGCTTTACAAAGAATTTAATTAAATAGTGTGCAGAGTGACTGGATGCAGCATGCACACAAGCTGTTATATATTCAGTAGTTCACATTTTGCAGTTAGCGCAGAACACTTTTGAGCAGTAATATGTGTGAATGATATTTCTATCAAAATGTGTATCGTCACCCCTCCTTTTGTACCTTGCACCTTAAAAATCATGCAAAAACCTTAACAGATGTCACCTCCAGGAGCACAGGGTACCTTCCTCAGCGCTGTAATGGTGTGATAAACAGAGGGAAATACAAATTCTCCTGTTGAGACTTGAACATCAGACATTGTTCCTCTGAAATCAAACGTTTATGACTCCCCAGAGAAAGATACAGATTATTGTGTCTTTTACCACAAAACTAGGCGTGTTTGGAATTTTATCTGAAGGTAGTAGAAATCCGTGGCGCAATCAAGACCAACCACTGAAGAAGTTCATTTCTAAATTAACACCAAGACTTGGACATTCGGATTTTAGACATGGAGAAGGAGAAGCAAAAGATTTCTCATTTTGCGATGATCAGTATGTTCAGAGTCCATCCTGTCAGTCACTGGAGATTGAGAAAGTCTCATTGTTGGCGTTAAAGTGCAGCCCATCAGAGCTTGCACTAGGGAAAGGTAGGAGCGTGTTCCTATGCCGTAGTACGCTTCTTGATTCATTCAGCGTTATTGGTATGCTCATGTCACCTGCAGGATTAGCATTCTGGAAACCAACAGGGTTATCTATTACGTTTTGTTTTGTCTATTCAGAAAAGCCCTTTAAGCATTAGCCGATGAATGAGAGGAGTTTCCAGGCTTGCAGAGCCACGGGGCTGTGTTGGATAAAAGTGATTTAGAATATCCCTCTGCAGTTGTCTACCTGCAAGGCTGTTAGCCGTCCATCAGATTGGAAGGTTTTATTGGTATGTCAGTGCTATAAAGTATCAGTGTAAACCAGCAGACCGATACCAGAGACACAAATAGTGAAAGACAGTCTATAATTGCCCGTAAAGGTGTTTAGTATGAGACCTCACCCTAGTTTCCCAGCTCCACAGAGTTATTCCAGTTTATTACTGGCTGACGCTGGCAAAATCTGTCCATTAGGGCTGGCAAGAAAGTCCAAAAACTACAAATGAACCCCAAGGAGAGAAACAAAGGGATCTGTTAAAAGTAGGGAACTGGTTTTACTTTCATGCTGGTTCTGTTTCAGTGTTGCTCTGCTTATATGAGGGGTATTGCTGGAAACTTAATTGTTGTACCTAAGGACAGAGTCTCTCTGTGTCCTTCTGAGGATGCCTTTTGGAGGAAAGTTTAAGCGCTCTGGGGAGAAGTTACAGCTTTCTTTACCGACTTAATGGGAGAGATCCCTGTTCAATGTTAATAAAGATTTGCCATTAGCTTCAGTGATTTCACCCAGTAGCCTTTGTGTCCTTTTTTTTTCATCCTTATCCCTTCTTTGTATAGCAGACATGCGTTTTTCATTTTGCATGTCATTTATAACAAATTGCAGTTATTCTAAAAAATTAGTACAGTTTGAGCTTCAACTGAAGAAGAAAAGGAGAGCATGTAATTTCAAATTTACTGGCATGTCTAATCTTGAACACCATGTTTTGGATTTTTGCTTTATTTCCTTTAATTAGGCTCTTGTTCTAGTGTCTGCCTTTATGTAAAATATTTATTCTTTACCATTTGTAGAATGTCTCTGCAATTTGGGTATTTTCAGTTGGCTTGTATTTGGAAGTAGCTGTGCTAGGGGAAGCACCCTCTCTGTGCTTCCCCTAGAAGGCTGGTATTTTTACACTTCTTACAGCAGGCCCTTTTTGGGAGTGCTGGAATATATCCAAGTTCTCCACTCCTGATATTTCGGTGGCAACTTCCTTTGAATCCTGAAGTGGAGCTCCTGCTGTCAGGTTGTTCTCCAAGCCAATTCCACCACACATATCAGCAAGCCAAAACAGACAAACCTAGGAGATGTATCAGTGCTGCGATATAGTTTAGAGTATTAGTTAGAATAAGCAGGTCAGAATTTTTCTTCCTCAGGTTAGGAAGTCAGCCCAGAGACCTTTCATCCCACCCAGTGAAGTACCACCTAGATATACTTGTGTTAACTGCGAATGAGCTAGCTTCAGAACCAGAATTAATAGAGCCAAATGAGAGGAGTATGGCAGCCAGGCTAATTAATTAAGAACCCAGGCTAATTAGCTTGACTGGAGGGAGCACCATGCTGATGTGACAGCGTAGCTTCCAAAATTCTGGCTGATTTGTACACAGGTTGCACTGGGCTTCTTGTAGACATGCAAGTTGTTTCTGGGCTCTTTCAGATGTTTTTGCCATGAAGTAGCATTGTGTATTGGTTTATTCCCTATGTCAATTTTCTGTAATTTAGATTTATTTCCAGACCGATAGTCAATTTTAGTTCCTTCACAAGCTTCTGCAGTTAAGATTTTTCTAACACATAGATAGACATTGTAATATTGTCTTGTTCACCCTCATACCACTGAGAGAAATTCCCCACTGCTTTTTTTTTTTTTAACCTGGTGAAGGACCTTCCCATCTTCTTCCTAAAATTTTGTCACTCACCGAATACAAAACTGAAGCCGTACCCGTGAAGTTGGGCATGGCACCACTGTTCCAGCCTGTGGGGCTGAGAGGCAGCTGTCAGCGGTCCTGTTCTCAGAGGATGCATGCTAGCAATAGTGCACCCTGAAGGATGCCTTGTTTTGTAAGAACTGGTGATTCTGAGCAGTTTGCTGTCTTTCTGCTTGTTACGAAGCAGTATTTCTTCAGTGCTCCCCTTAATGTCAGTCCTTACGTACAGTTTGGTGTGTAAGATGTTCATAAAAGAGTCACTTTAATGAAAAGATAAAAAATACTTGTGGTAAAAGTCTGTGTTGCTACATTGATATGGTATAGTAAACATGAGAAGCAGTATCCAACCCAGAAGTAAATCAACAAGGTATTGTAAATAAGCTGGATTCTGTACCATATACTTCACTTAGAAATACTAAGTACTGTGTTACAGCAATAACATAGTAATCATGTGTGAACAGAGAGTGGCATAAGATAAGAAATGAATATTTTATTAATGTTTCCTAAGTAATATTACTAGAGAGCTGAAATTAAGTTTTGCTTTTTATGTGTATGTTAACATGCTTTTAGTGATCATTTATGGCCTTACCTACAGTAGCTCTTCAGCGTAGTAGCTCCCACAAGGAGTTAACATATATTTTTCTATTTCTAGATCTGTTAGCTGTGCCTAAGCATCCATATGCTGCTATGGAGAACTGGGGGCTGAGTGTTTTTGTGGAGCAAAGGATACTACTGGATCCAAGCATTTCTTCTATATCATACCTACTGGATGTCACCATGGTCATTGTACATGAGCTATGTCATCAGGTACCAAAGGTGTTCAGATATTTGATATTAATGTCAGATACCATGCGTTCCTTCTCAAAACTGAAAATGAATTTGTGTTGTTCACGTAGACAGTTGCAACTTTGATTGTAACTGGAGTCCAAATAATACGGAGGTCTGTAAGACAGATCACTACAGTGTAGAAACTGGGAAGACTCAAAATGGGGATAGAAGAGAAAATTAGTAGCAATGAACAACTTGTCTGTGTTTTGTGTGATTATATTCTGTATGTTTGTGGGTGAGTGTGTTGTTGGTGTGTAGACTAAACATGTTGATAACTGTAGAAAATGATTTATTGCAGAACTATAGCAGATTCATGCCGAGTTTCATGTTCATGGCAAAAAATGTTTTGGCTGAAATCAGTTTGGTAGTCATCTTCTTCTGTCACATATACACATACTTCTTTTTCTTTTCATTTTTTTTTAGTTTGATATTGACCCTCTGTTCACTAATGGTGGATAATTGAGTCTTTATGTGTACAGAAACTTCTGTATCAATAAGAAAACTTTGTAATAACCCCATATTACAATTTATTTTACATTTCTTCCATCTTCTTATCTCAAACTAAACACATCGCGAGTGTTTAGTAATATTGAGTTGAATGCAAATGTTATTGAAGGAATTTGCTACAGGGGCAGGAAACCCTTTCTTGCACTCATAAGAGGCATAATCATAGCCTTCAGGTTAAAATGAATAAAATCCTACTGTGTAATCAGCATGCCTTACATCTGTGACTTTACACAGTATTCTTTAAAAGGCAATGCAAATTCTTAACACTTTCTGCAGATAAAAAGTACCATATAAAAGGGAGCTTTTGTAATGGAGTTCTGGTAGATGAACCTGGAAATAATAATGTTTGGTTCATATTCATGTTTCACATTAAATCTGTCGATGAAGTCCTCAACTACAACATGAAATTTTTATTGAAAGTTATTGCTGGTTTGTTCTCAATACGATCATCTGATTTTGTTATATGCTCTTTATTGTGCAGTACAATAGAGTAGCACACTGTTGAGCTAGAAAAATTACAGTGCCTTAGGAATCAGGTGTGGAAAACACATATTAGGTCATCAAATCCGGGCTCCTATTAGTATTAGATTCTTCCATGTGGCACATTTTGGAGTGCTGGGTTCAGTGCTCCTGATTACAGGGTTATGCCACTTCCCTTAAAACCTTTTGATTAAATCTGATGGTCAATAACTTTTTCCTAGTGTTCAGCTTAAGTCTTCCTTTTTCTGAAGTTGTTCCATTACTTGCAGTTATTCTTTGCACCGCTTTAATAATTTCCTCTGCTTCCAAAGCAATTTATATTTCAGATGTGGGCAATTATCACATCAGTAACTTGCCAAGTTTGTTTATTTGATTCTCATTGAAACCGAAGCCTTTTTACATTGTTCTGGGAACATCAGAGGATCATAAAGTGGGTGAAAACTATATTTGAATTTAATTTAGGATAGCAGTGCGGTCATAGAGTGCTTTTAAGTGACCTTAAAATTGCAAATGAGAAGGTTTACTTGGTGTCCATGTTGATATTACTTCCAGTGCTGTTCACTTAATTAAAGTATCTTCCTCCATTCATGTTGCTGCTGTTTCTGTTTTGGTACCATGCAGAGCAGGTCCTTGCTCAGCTGCTTCACTGGATAACTAGACCAGGTAGAAAATATTCAGGTGGAAGAAATATTATTTCTATTTTTTAGATGCAGAATTGAGTCAGAGACAATATGGATTGTTCATCTGCAAAGAAAATTTAAAGGGAGAAACCCTCCAAAAATACAAGCCACAAAACACTGCTTAGCACCTCCATCACAGTATTGACTTTATTTAGCCACGTTTTTCTGCTTTTATCTTACCATACGCAGAAGCCCCTCAAGGAAACTTTAGCTGTGGATAGCATAGAGCAGGAACTGTAAGCAATACCAGCTTAGCTGAAAATCTATTGAACTGAGACCAGGTTGGGTCCAGGATCTCTTGCCTCTGATATTTAATTGTTAATTATTCACTGGATTTTCATCCTCTTCTGCTGTGCATCATCTCGCCTGCTAACCTGGGGTGGCATGTGAATATTCCTCCCCTTCATTCATTTTTACAAATAGAATAACAGAGGTTAATCAAAATCACTTCTGGCTCAGCCAGAAGTGGAATCCAGATCTCCAGTTTTACTTTCATTTCACGTAAGAGGAAAGGGAACTCTCCTAAAATACGTTTTCCTAAAATATATTTTTTTTCTTCTTTTGAAGAATTGTATCATTGTCCTATTTCCCCTGATTTTAAACCCATGGCTTTAAGACTTCCCTCAGCGTGCATCAAACTGACCTGTATGAGATTGTTGTTACTTAGAGTAACACAGCAATTGCTTTGCTAATGTTGTTCCCAAGATTAGAAAAATCAAGTGTATATTAAGAATTGGTATTGTTGCCTTTAGATATGACTGTTTAAAATCAGAATTCCCAAACCTGTTGGGTGTTAGTGCTTGAGCACAGTGTTCAGGACAGCTAGAAAATGCGAGACAGCACTGCAGAAGGACAAAGAAATTCTTTGGTTATCAAAATACAGGTAAAAAGTGTGTAAGAAAGAATTTCATGCCTGATTTCTTCACAGGTGACTTTGTAATGCTTGATTAGATATTTCTTTTAGGTACATGTTTTAGGAGGGACACATTAAAGTTAGATGGGTAGCTTTAGTTTAGTCATTTTGTAGGTTGCCAGTGCTTGATATTTCAGCTTGAGTGTTGTTTTAGAACATTTTATGTATTTAATTAAAAAAAATAATAATTGGAAGAAGGAGTTTTTTGACATAAAAGCTTCTACTCCAAGCCCCAAAACACAAATGAGATACTAGTCAAAACACATATATTTCTAGCAGCTTAAGTTGATAGCTTGAAATAATTACCATAATTTATTTAAATAATTCTATTGAGGTAGTAATCAGTTTTATTTGCATATCACAGATCAGTCCCACCTACAGCCTTTGAAGAAAGAGTCATCTGAATTTATGCACCATGACTTTTTGTGATAGTTTTCCCACCTGAGCACAAAACTTGGTGTGACAGATTGAGTTACAGAGGCATGAAAGCAGAAGGAAAATTAAAACTTTCTAAATCAATGTTTTTTTAATAATCTGTAAAGAAAGCTATGCATGTCAGGCTGAACATAATACCTGAGGGAGATGAGAAATTTATGTAATCAATAAATTTCAATTCATTTTTCTTTTCCAAAATGAAAAGAAGTAATGCTCTTCACTCCAGGCAAATAGTGTCTGTAGTCAAATACACAAATAAATAAATAAACACTTACTTACATAAATGAAGTCCTTTACTTAATGTTTTCCTTTCAGACATGTAACACCTAGGAAGATAATAGCACCTTTCTGCTGGGAAATTTGGCTTGGTTTATTGCAGTCTCTGGGTCTGCTCTGTCTCTGACATTCATAACTGTCTCTGATACTAAAGACTAGTTAAGCAAATTTCCTACATTTTTATATAGGTATCACATGCTGTTTTAATGCCAGTGAAACACTTCTTCCTCTAGGTGGATAATTAATTGATTACTTTTAATTGTATCATTAATAAATAAACCCAGAAAACTCACAAAGGGGTATAAGAAATTATCTTTTGTGACATCATAAATTAGTGTTATTAATTCTTTTGAGTTACAGGAGGATGTATTATGAACTTTACAACCTTTATTTTTTTAAATCTCTCTCTGAATAGTCATACCATACCATGACTGTTACTGCTTTCATATTTATTCAGCAGTCCTCTTGTAATTCAGGAAATTTTTAGAATTGTTTAGTCTGTTTGTCATTAGAAATCATTTAGTCAACCTTTTCTAGTATAGATATAACTTTCACACTCCTCTGGTGCTATGCTACTCTAAAATTGTGAAAAGCGCGTTACCTGTATGAATGCACTTCCAGTGTTTCTTTGTCTTTTTAGTTAACTGTTCTTAACATCAACATCTGTTGGTCCTGTAGACAATTTATTGATAGCCTTCAACTAATTGTGATCACCGAGTGTCCCTTAGCTTTAGTTTAACTTTGTGTGCGAGTATGACTTTTGTCAACCTCATCTTTTGTCCCTAAATTCTTAAGTCGGTTGTCAATGACATTCATTGTCACGTTTTGCTTCATTTTTTTTTTTTTTTCAAATCCTATTAACCGAACATTGTGTGGCAATCTGGTAATCTCAGTTTCTGTAGTCTGTTCTTTGGAACCCCTGTGTTCACTTCACTACGGATTCTCACCGCAGCATTGATCCTTCCTTGGTGCTATTCTCACTCCACAAAGACATGCACAGAATTGAGACCTTTCATTCAGCTCCCAGACAAAGCCTTCAAATAAGCCAACCGTCATGAAAGCAAACCACTTACTGGCCAACTCTGCTTTCATTTGTTCCCCGCTCTCATTACTGTGTCAGCAGCAGCTCCTCTGCCCTGACATGAGTCTCTCCATTTGGAATGCTTATTTGCTGCTTGCTTTCTGTATTTACAGAGTTTACAATTCTATGAAAGCTCAAAATTATCTGTGTTGATTATGAATTAATCTCATTTCTAATCACATTAAGAAAAAAACTGGCAGGGAATTTTACTGAAATAAAGTTTTGGTATTTGTTTGGCAAAAAAGATGCTACTGAGAGTATGAAGTATGTTTTCATAATAGTGTATGAGTTTCTGCTCTTACCACTGGTGTGACGACGATTCAGGTTGCACAGGACCATTACAATCATTTAAACAGCATCATCCATCAGCAGAAGAATTGATGACACCTGATTTGCTTTGAATTTTTGTCGTCATTCCTTTTCCAATGATCATCCCAGCTCTAAAATCCCTCTGACACCCACATATCCTGTACCGTGACAGGTTTGTGGCTGTTGACGGCTACTGAGCAGAGTATCTAATGGCCGCATTCTTGCCTTACCCTCACTTTAGGTCCTTCTCCTCTTTTCAGTTGCTGATCTTCATTGACTTTTGTGGGACTATAATTATCTTTGAGATCTCTGTCCTTCTTTCTAAATTAGATTGAAGTCAGTGGGGAAATTCAAGAGTGACCTGGGAAGAAGGGGAAGGCAGTCAGCTCGGATATGGTTCCTCTGCATAAACATAGGTGGCCTGTGCCATTTTAGATACCCTCTGTCTGTGGTTGCTGTTCAGGAAGGCTGCAGATCTCCTCTAAGTCCTGTATGAAATTTCCTAGGCCATTGTGGGTACCTCAGATACCCTAAGATGTTCTTTAAGTGGCATGAGCTACCTGCTTTTAGGCATCTGAGTCCTACCCACAGAGAGATGGCATGATCGTATAGAACTGCTTTCCTTAGGAAACCAGCCAATGAACGAAGCATCAGCAATATTGTAAATCCTACTGGGCAAACATCGTGGAGGAAGAAATGCTAAAATTTAGGGCTGGGGTGTGGAGACTGTGTTCCCAGTTTTTCAAGATTCGCACTATGCACAGTGAAGTTTCCAGGTAATGAATTTGATTACTCGAGTTAGAAGCCTTTTTTTTGTCCATTGTGTATGTTTGTCCCTTAAGCCTAGGTGAGCATCTACTTTAGATAGCTGAAGTAGACACTGTGAGCACTCTCCTCAACACTTCTTTTCCCCTGCTTGTTCTTTTCTAATGTTTTTTTTTCACTAACTTGTGCACCCTGTAAAGGCTTAATTCCTTACTACATGAAAAAAACACTTAATGAGTTCCAGTGGGCGGTATATACTACTGTTTTTATTAAAACTTGTGAAGAATCTGTTTTGTATAAATGAGATTATGCAAACATGGGTTCCTAAAGTTTGTTTATTTGAACTTCCTTTGCAGTGGTTTGGTGACCTTGTGACTCCAGTTTGGTGGGAGGATGTGTGGTTGAAAGAAGGTTTTGCTCACTATTTTGAATTTGTGGGGACAGACTACCTCTACCCAGGGTGGAACATGGTAAGTCAGTGTTTTTGTTAATTTAGGACTCCACAGAAAAGTTGCTCTGCTGTTATACTCTTGCTGTTGTTATAGACAGGGACTGCTGAAAAATACCAAATGATGCATGCAAGTATCAGATGTGCAATGAAGCAAAATCACTAGGTGTGAAATAATTTGACAGCATTCCAAAAGTGTAATCTGCAATTTATTACAAAAGAAATAAGGTCAGATCTATCATAACCCAACATTAAAATAACTACTGTCTCTCTGCTCAGAAACATTTTGGATTAAAGCAGTTTCGATTTAACAAGGACCATTTTTGAAAATATTCAGAATTTTTAATTTTATCCACAAACACAAGATAAATTGGAAAGAAATGTTCAGCTAAAACATACTGTAAAACTGAGCATATTTTTTCTTACAGTATTCTGTTCTCTCCCTAAGCATACTCTCTCTATATTCCTGCTATTATTTGTCTGTCTAGCAGTACATTCTAAGTTGACATGGGGTAGATGAATTGAGAACCTAGGTTTCAATTATGATTTCCAGCTGTACAGAGTTGGACATGCTTTGTCAACTGGTGTGCAAATATTGGAGCTCTCTGAGGGCAAACTGGGAAGGCCATGCTGGGACATTCTTTTGGAGTCCTTCTGTTACACCATATGATACCTAGTAAGGTCTCAGTTAATATCAACCACTGTAGTCTAGGAATATTATGCTTATACAAAAAATAGGAGATATGAGACCTCAGGACAAGGGATTTGTGTGTGAGACTGCATTGAACGTTGCTATATAGATTTTGTTGTCCTTTGGAGAAATTTTTCTGTTTGCTATCCTTTTATGTTTACACGTTTAATTATGTGGCAAAATATTTGTTATAAATACAGGTTGCCTGATAGAGGTTTGTTGTAGATTGAATGTTTTGCTTAAACTCTTGCATACTAACTTCTGAAATATTTTTTCCCATTTCTGGGTGATTTATTGAGTATTCTTATCCCATTAAGTTTTGTGTGCCACGAAATGAAGATGCTATAATTATGAGTTAAAGCTAATTTTAAAAAATAGTTGTATACAGGTACTGTTGCTTTAGGTGTGTGCTTCTTGTGAAGTTTGATTTCTTTGCAGTATTTAAATTTTTTCTTTCAGATGTCAAATTTGGTTTGTAATTGCATTATGAAAATGAAAATAAATCTTTATCTGAACTGACATCTGTCTTGCATAGGTAGGCTTGTTGGGTTTACCTGGCTTTGGCTGTATTAAAACTCATTCTTTTCATCTTTATGAAAAACACATCCTGAATTACAATGTAATGATTCTAATTATGAATGCAATGAAATCTGGCAGGCCTTTATGATTTTAGCATAGTGAAATGTCATAGATGACAACGTTTATACACTGAATTTTATCGTCAAATCATCAGTCATTTGTTCTTCACATAATCGGTTTAACAAATCCAGAATAACTTTGCTTTAGAAGTCATTTGGAATATAGAATATTTGCTTGAGACTTCTGTGGAATGAATATAATGTTCACTGTTATGCAAATGACATGCCCATCACATGAAATCCTGGCGTCTTAGCAGAATACCGGCAAAGCGGATGGGTTGAACAAGGTGCGACAGTTAAACTGGGAAATCAGACACATGCTGCATAAATTAGAATTAACTACAGTAATATTGCTGTGCCTGAAAAAATATTCCTCAGTCAAGTTTTTCCTTAAATTAAAAAGAAGGTAGACATAAACTTTTCATAAGGCTTTGGATATCTTTGGCCTTTGATATAAAAATAACCAAACTGACATATTGAAATAATTAGAAAATTGGTGGCAAGATGGAACACTTGATGGGTTAAACATTTAGACGTCAACATTCTTTTGCAGACTAGGGTAGGAATCAATACTGTGATGTTTCAGCCTTATTACGGAGATTGTAGGAAGAGGAAGCAAAAATTACAGTTACTGGAATTTGGCTTGCTGGATATTTTTGTTATCAGTATAAAGCACATTTGCTGTTTAGATCATACTGACATTGACTTTTTATAAATGCCCACTTTTTATTTTTTCAAACTGTTACAAACAACTTTTTTTTCTTTTTTTTTTTTTTTTTTTAAAGTGAAGGATACAGTACAAGCTTCATGAATCAGTTGCAAAACCAAGAACTGCAAACCTTATTTTCTGTAATGCTGGCTAAACAGAGCAATATTCCAGCATTCTGGGTGGTGTATTGTCAGCAGTAATTCATATCTGTGAAATAAAAATAAAATATGTTATGGTGGATGATACCACAGCCCTTTGCATCAGGAAAACAGAGTAATATACCCAAATCCTCTTTCTTTCTAAAGAATTGGGAAAGTTAGACAGTTAACTTCTTTCTCTTGTAGTTCTGAAATGTTACCCTTGAAAGTTTCCTCAAGAAAGTCCCATGAACTAAAATGTCAAATTCAACTTGTTTTCAGGTTATTAAAGATTTTTTTGTCACGTTTTCTGTTGGATAAATGTAGAAGCAGAAGGCTGGTAGTCAATTCCAGAAAAAAGACTTGTCTGGAAATGCAACTTGGGCAATATGGATACATCTGAATTAAATGGATCTAGCCACAGATTCCTACCTAACTTATTGTTAGGATGCTTATAGGCTACAGGCACATAAGCTTTCATCATCAAAGCTCCATCAGCCCCTGAAGCTTTGCTACTGCTTGTCTGAAGATGCTTCTCTTTTAGCAGAGCTGAGCATTTTTCAGTGTCCATCTTATTTGGCATTCACAGATTTGGTATGGCTGAACCTGAGACTCTTGAGGAGAGCGATCCATTAAGCATGTTCACGCCATTCTAATGTAAACCAACAGCACTGAGTTCTGCACAAAGCAGACAGCCATGGTTTTTATCTGAAACCTGTTTTCCGGCTTTTTTTTCTAGGTTCTTTGGCTTGCTTAAGCGTTTCTTCTTCCTCTGAGGTTCTGGATTTTATCAGTTTTTCTTCAATTGTTTTATAGGCTCTTCTTTTACTGCAGGAAAGATGGGTGGATACCAATGTTGACAGAACTGCCATGGAGCTGTAACACTTTATTGAGCCTTCCAGCAGGTCTAGAATTTCTTGTCATGTCCAGAAGTTGTTTACATACTTAATCTGACTTGCATAATCTTAATGAGAAAGGAAGTCCAGTCCTTATTAAACCCTTGCTGTCCTTATGCCCTGGATCGTCTTACTAAAATTTTGGGTGAAGAACAGAATGGAGAGTCATTCTGATGGAGACATCAATTACCTGTTGCAGTTAACATAAGATAACTTGGAACTCTCCTGAGGAAGTGGACGAAATTTCCTGAGGTGAACTTTCTGTGCTGAGATCCTTCATGGTTCCACAACTGGTCTTAATATCCTTTTTAAAATTTAAGTTACCTCAGATCAAAGTTAGAAATTCTCATTTCCTTCCCTCAGCTAAAAAATAAGTCCCTGCATATTACTTTTTACCTCTTGAAGGTGAAGTTACGTTTGATTTTGCAGGAAATATGTCCGTACTATACAGTCCTTAGACACTTGCCATGGAAATGAGTTCACCATTCTTCCCATTTCAGCCTCTTGCATTGCCTGTCCCCCAAATTAAGAGTTTTTTGAAATTCTTGTGCTGAAATGTCTCAGATTCTTATTCTAAAGTCTCCTTCTTCAAGGTCTTGGAAGTTTAGACAATTGTTTCTGTGTTGTCAGGATAGTTTTAAAAAGAAAGCTGGCTCTGCAGACTGTTCCCTCCAGAGATGAGAGAATTTCGCTTGATCATGTGCGCTCAGAGTAATCATCTGCATGTGAATTCCCTGGCTGTTGCTATCTCATGACTTAGAATGAGATGAGGTTTCTGTATTAGAGAAATATAACCATATCACTGTTTGGTTGTGTCTCCATGCCATCAAAAAGCAACAGCAGCTGGATGTGAGTTCTTAAGCTGTAAGATCTTACGACTGATACATGGTAATGTCACCTCTGTGGAAGGTGCCTCTGCTAGTTTTAGGATCAGAGAAAAGAGAAAATTACAGCAGAAAACTACATGCTGGTAATTTCCACTTCGTAGCCCTGTCTTTTCTCATCTACCCTTCTCACCCTTCTCCTTTCAGAGCCCTGTTTGCAACTATATATTCCATCTTCCTCTCTGCTTGTTTCTCTCATTATCCTGAGGTCCTTTGTATGTGGCTTTGCAAAGGAAGGAATTCAACTGACGCTTACAGATCCAGGAATTTATTGACTGATCTTTTACCTCCTTATTTTCTGGTAGAAGGAACCATCATGTTTGTCCTTGAATGTCTCTGGTATT